AAAAAAAAAAAAAAGAAACATGCCCTGAACCAAGTCTGGGCCTGGCTGGCCAGGGCATCATGATAACCAGTCATGCCCCTCCCATGGTGTCAAGCTCAGATGACACTCAGATCGAACAGATCCTGGATGCAAAGATTCACCATGAGATGGGGAACAGAGGTTGGCCTGGGTCATGCCCAAAGGGAAAGGGGAAAAGGCCCCTAGGGGGGCAAGAACCTGGACACCTGGGTTCATGGGCTTCCCAGACCCTCCCCAGGCCCCGCTGACCATAAGACGTGGCCTGGTACCTGCTGGAAGTAGGCAGCAAAGCGGTGCAGGTACTGGTCATAGGGCAGCAGGGCATGCGTCTCACACCCAAAGCAGTTGATGTACCAGATACCCAGCAAAGCCAGCAGGACGGGACCGTTCTTCTCCAGGGGCGTCATGCGGAAGTGCTGGTCCTGAAATGAGAACAGGGTGGGTGGGAGCTGAGTGGCTGCCAGGGAGGGAAGGAGGGGAGGGAGGGGCAGGGAGGGAGATGGACTAACCACATGCCTCTGGCCAGTGCTTGGCAGAGAACACAAGCATCAGCACTTACCATCCAGTGAGCCCCCGAGAGCAGCTGCTCAAAGTTGTCAAATCCTGCGACACAAAAGCAGCGTCAACAGAAATGGCTGTGCCCTATGCCCGTCTGGCAGTGGGCACAGCTTCATCTGGAACCAGGGAAAGGCTGGATGTGGAGCCAAAAGAAATCGGACCTGGAGGACATGGGCCTGCAGAAAGCCTCTCTAATGAGAGTCGGCTCTGAGCACAGAAGTGGGTCTAACTCCACCTCACATGGGGAACAGATAGGACTGCAGATGGGAGAGAGAAAGGCCAACCCACAAACTGAAAGGAACACTCGGGCCTTCCCTCCTGACCTGAAAGAAATGTTCCAGCCAAGGGCAGAGAGGCCAGTGGCCTGTAAGGACAGAAAGGGGCTCAGGGACATGAGACCGTCACCCAACCTTAGACTCTCAACATCGTCTCCCCAAACAGAAACACCCACACTCACCCACGTGCAGGGCAATGGAGAGTCCAATGGCTGACCACAGCGAGTAGCGTCCTCCTACCCACTAAGAGAGACAGGAAAAGGTGCTGAGGAAGGGTTGGCATACCCACCCCCCTCCCTCCTGCCACAAAACTTGCCCCCTGAGAGTAATGCTCTTCCGTAAGTGCAGCTCAGAGGGCCTGGGCCCAACCCACCTCTGGGAAGCAAGACAGCAGGCTAGGCGCTGGCAACTCTTGGGCTGACCAACAGGGCAGGCTACACGTGGTACTGATCAGAGCCACAAAGCTCAACGGAAGACCTTACCATGGACGGCCTTCTTTCCACACTGACAGAGCTAGCGCCTCATACTTGTGCCAGACCCGGCCTCCTCAGACACTGACAGACCCAGCACCTTATGCCTGTGCCGGGCCCGGCCTCTTCAAATGCTGACAGAACCCTCACCTCATACCTGTGCCTCCACAGACCTGTGCCCGGCCCCCTCAGACAGCGACAGAGCCAGCACCTCATACCTGTGCCAGGCTCCACATCCTTGGACACTAACAGATCAGAATCTCATACTGGGCCTGGCCGTGCCTCCCAGGACACTGACAGACCCAGCGCCTCATACCTGTGCCAGGTTCCACTTTCTCAGACATCAACAGACCCAGCGCCTCATACCTGTGCCTAGCTCACCTCTTTGGACACTGACAGATCAGAATCTCATACCTGTGCCTGGTCCCGCCTCCTTGGACACCAATAGACCCACTGCCTCGTACCTGTGCCATGCCCTGAATCCTCAGACTATCAGGTCCAATGCCTCATGCCTGTGCCAAAGCACGCTTCCTTGAACAATGAAATATTCATACCTCCTACCTGGCCTTGGGCCTGCTCCCTCTGAAACTGACAGACCCAGCACCTCCTGTCTGGGCCCGTTCCCAACTCCTCGGGCTGTATTGACAAACCTGGTGCCTCACACTTGTGCCAGCCTGCCTCTTGGGACACTGACGGGCCCCCGGCGGTTCATACCTGGGCTCCACTGACCTTCTCAGCCTCGGCCCCAAGACACACTGAGGCCTACTATTCACACTGCCTTTTCATGCCATGTGGTAGATTCCACTTGATATCATCAGAAACCTCAGAACTCCGTTCACCTGTTCCAACTATTTATGGAGCACCTACCACATTCTTAGCACAGGCAACGGAAACAGTCCATGCGAGAGAAAGACGTAAATGAAACAATCATGCCAATTAATATGAAAAAGAGATATAAGAGCTTGGGAGAAAGGAAATACAGTACTGAAACCAAGTATAAAAGGAATCCAAGGGGTGCTTGAGGTAAGATTTGAGAATGAGCAGGCATTCCCCAGGGAAGCACTGGGGGGAACAGAAGCATTCCAGCAGCCAGAACAGCACCAGCCAAGGTCCTGGGGCAAGAGCAGCTTTTCTCAACAGGGAGAGAATTAATCCCCACAGAAAATGCTTTGAGTGACTTCACTTCTCAATTCTCCCAGGGATGGCCCAAGGCTAGTTTCCTTCTAGATGTAAAGGAGAGAGGCTAATGCATTACATTCGATGGATGCCTAGGGCATTGGGGCTTAATTCTCTACTGGAAGCCCACTGAGAGAGGCTGGCCAGGAGGAAGCGCAATCTAGAAGATGAAAGAACTGAGGCTTGGAGGAGGGTAGAAGCTGAGAGGCAAGGCTGGAGAACCAAGAAGTCTGGTGAGGTGAGAATGGAAGTGGTTTCCACCACTTAGGACCCCCAGTGGTCATCCAGAGAAGGATGCTACCCCTGGGGAGTGCAGGAGACTGATTCAGGGGTTTCCATGAAACAGGGGGAGTGGGGAGAATGGGAGAACCAAGTGTGGACCAGAGGTCTCTGGTTTAGGTAATGAAATGAATGGTGGGGCCCTTCTCCTGGAAAGGGTCCAGGTTTTGGGGAACCTTACCTGACAGACACAGTCCTGCTGGCCTGACATGGGCTCTCAAATCTCACATAACAGACAACTCTGGGAACTGAACTAAGTAGACAGCCAGCCCTCAGAATGACAGATTTCAGGCTTCTGACCTTGGCTAAGGCCAGGTCATCAGACCTCACTTTTTTGGACAGCCCAGCAATGCCAGGGTCTGACTTGAGCCTCTGAAACCTCAACCTGCAGATGCAAGTCTTTGGACCTCACAGGTACCTACAGCGGGCCTCTCAGACCACACCTCACTGATGCAGCTCCTCAAGTCAGTTCAACATTCTATGCCTCACCTGCCCGTGCCCCAGACTCACTTTATCTAACCAGGTATAATCCTATCTTTTTCCTCACCTGGGTAACTCAGTCCTTACGCCAACCAGGTCCCAACACTACAGACCACATCTTGGACTAGTTATATAGAGCCCCAGGCCTCTGTAATACCCTGAGCTCTGCCCAACACACCTGATCAGGTGGGGACCTGGCTCAGGGCATTCTATCTGTCCTACCTGATCCAAAGGGCTCTCAAGACCAGTCAGACCCAGGTACACATACCAATGATGACTGTCTTTCCCTTGGTAAGAGTCCACATCACCCATTTAAAGGTGTCCCATCCTATCACTGAAGGTCCCACCTGTGTCTGACCTACCTTATCAGGCCTCACCAGCCCCACCAATTATGCATTCCTGGGCTAGATTGTGCCCACTCATTTCCCCGAAGAAGTCCAGGGCTGCCAATTTGTACCTAAACCCATGTGGCAAGAACCCACTTAAGATCACATTTATATACCTCTGTCCATGTGACCCTGGATCCAGGAACTCACTGACAAGGCCAGCATTGGATGGATGCAATGGTTTCCCCTGGGAGGTTAGCTCTGTCTGTGTCCTACCCCAGTACCTCATACTGCAGGGTTATACACCTGTCAGAGGCAGGAGTCAGACAGCACAGCTAATTGACCAGGCTTCACATACTGGTCTGGGCCTGACCCTTGCATCTCAACCTACAGACCCAGGTCCGCCTCCCTGAGCCCAACTTAGATTCCTCACACCTTCCTGAAAGATCTAGCTCTATCTACACGGGTCTGACCTCAGCTCTCAGGCCAACCTTGAGAAACTCAAGACTATCTCCTGTGTCTGACTTGGCTCTTCACATCTTGTAAACAGATGCAACACTAACAACCCCTGCTTAACCTGGGCACCAACACTACATTGAGGAGTCACAGATCTCATCAGACGTGAAAATCTCTGCATAGCTGTGCTCCACACACCCCACCTGAGACATGTGGTGCTATCTACCTGTGACTAACCCATGCTCCCCAGGCCTAATCTCTAAGACCTGGGTCAACATACCTGAGCTAGAACAATGCTCCGAGAACTTCACCTGCAAGATCCAGGTATACATACCTCTGGCTCCAGAGTCCTTGCTAGAGAGCCACGTCTACCTGCTTGTGTCTAACTTAGGTCCCCAGACCTCTCTGAGCCCCACAGTGTTCTGCCTACCTAAAGAAGACCCCAGTGTTGTGGGCCTGACCCGGGAGGCCACTCTACCCACCCAGGCTGTTCCTCATGCCTCATCAGAAAGACCCAGGGGCATACCTTCCCCTCAGGTACATACCTTCCCCTGAATCCAACACCTGAAAAAGCCAACTCTACCTACCTGTGTTTAACCCTAACTCCTTAGGCCTCCTAAGACACTACACTTGGCAAATGGGCCTTGCTTACCTGCCTCTCACTCTGGTTTCTCAAACCACACTTGGTGGACCAGCTCTACCTACCTGCGGATCAATCCTGGGTCTTCAGACTGCAACTGATGGGCCAGCTCTACCTAGCTGTACATGACCCTGGCTCCTTACACTGTACCTCGTGGGCCAGTTCTACCTACATGTGCTTGATCCTAGCTCCTCAGCCACACCTGGAGGGCCACGTGGCCTACCTGTGTTTGAGCTTGGTTCCTCAGACAGTACCTGGCAGGCCAGCTCTGCCTACCTGTGCTTGACTTTGGTTCCTCCAACCTCACCTGGTGGGCCAAGTCTACCTACCTGTACGTGACTCTGGCTCCTTACACTGTATCTAGTGGGCCAGCTCTGCCTACCTGTGCTTGACCTTGATTTTTCAGACCACACCAGGTGAGACAGTTCTACCTACCTGTGCTTGACCTAGGGCCCTCGGACAGCACCTGGCTGACCATCTCTGCCTACCTGTTCTTTACTTTGGCTCCTCTGACCACACCTGGTGGGCCAGCCAGCTCTGCTACCTGTGGTTGACTTGGCGTGGCTCCTTAGACCACACCAAGTGAGACAGTTTTACCCACCTGTGCTTGACCCTGGGTGCTCAGACCACACATGGCAGGCCAGTTCTGCCTTTCTGTGCTTGATTCTAGGTCCTTAGATAGCACCAGGCAGGCCATTTCCATAAACCTATAGGTGACCTGGACCTTATACTGCAGCTGATAGGCCAGGTCTACCTACCTGTGCTTGACTATGGCTCCTCTGACCACACCAGGTAAGCCAGCTCTACCTACCTGTACATTCTGGCTCCAATCCTGCATCTGGCAGACCAGCTCTGCCTACCTGTGCTTGACCTTGGTTCTTCCGACCACAACTGGTGGGCCAGTTCTACCTACCTATACATGACTCTGGCTCCTATACCTAGTATGCCAGCTCTGCCTACCTGTGCTTGACCTTGGCTCCTCAGACCAAACCAGGTAGGACATTGCTACCCACCTGTGCTTGACCCCAAGTCCTCCGACCTCACCTGGCAGGTCAGTTCTGTAAATCTATAGATGACTCTGGCTCATTAAATTGCAACTGGTGGGCCAGCTCTGCCTAATTGTGCTTGACCTTGGATCCTCAGATATACCAGGCAGGCCAACTCTGCTTACCTGTGCTTTATTTACCCTGGTGCTCAGACCACAGCTAGTGGGACAGTTCTACCTACCTGTGCTTGACCCAGGGTCCTCAAACAGCACCTGGCAGACCAGCTCTGCCTACCTGTGTTTGACCCTGGCTTGTCCAACCATATCTGGTGAGCCTGCTCTACCTACCTGTATATGACCCTTGCTCCTTATACTGTACCTAGGGGGCAGTTCTCCCTACCTGTTCTTAACCCTGGCTCCTCAGACCTCAC